AATTGAGTAGTTTCTTTGTTCCTTCTGCATGGACAAGTTTGACAAAGGCATTGTCAGCTATAGTTGTATACTCTTCTCACACCTGCTGGGCAGCTTGTATTTGGTGTCTTGAAAACAGAACTATATTTTCAAAATTAAGAGTAATATGTTTGGTAAATAGATTTCTTTGGCTAGATTTCTCTACAGTTGCTAACATCTGAAGGGATGGTGTAAATCCAGCAAGGGTCCATGCAGGAAGCCAAAGCATCTGTACGTCCGCATGGTCACTTGTGCATGTATGGTGATCTACCTTTATAGTCTGTTTGCAGTGAAAACGTACTGATGAATTTCACTTTAAACTAAAAAGTAAATCGAATAAGGTGAAATAAGATTGCGAATCCAAATAATTTTACCTTGCCAATTGAACATTTAAATCTCAGTATTTTATTCAACTTAGGACAAAAGATGTTTAACAACCAATCATATATTCAAATCGCTATAATAGGTTTGCATTACAATGTTCAGTTGGCAAGGTAAAATTATGAGGATTTGCAATCTGAATTTCAATGTCTTCGATTTACTTTTTTGTTTAAACTGAAATTCATCTGTATGTTGTGATCTATAGCCTGTTTCTGTATTCTATAGTTCTCAATAGTTAAAAGTTTTAGATTTATATTCTAGTTTTACATGTATATTCTAATTGTTTTTAATGTCCTTCGTTCACAGATTTTTATAATTATGACTTTATGCATTATGAATGTATAACTTGTTTTTGTCACAATATGGAAGAAATACAGACTTAATATTTTCGCTCACTCACTCACTCCATGTGTGGACAATTGTTATGATGTTGTATGGATGGAGTGTGTGGCCTCACTTCATTGTTATTTACTCCTGAAGAAAAAACTATACACGTCAAACTCAGATAAGCAGTCTTTATTTGTGAAGAAGGAAACAACACAACAGCATACACCCTAACACTCTGTACAGGTAATAGTGTACACCAGCAGTGGAATGATGTATACATAACTCCCTGCTGTGATGCTCCTGTAGTAGGAACAAAATATACATTAGCTTGTTCATTCGATTCAACTGAGCTTTATTGTAATACATGTGAGCAATTGTTACACAGTCCACTTCCATCGCATAAGGCAATGTGTCTGGGGATACATCCCCACAGTGCTTCTAGCTTCATGATAAAATACACAATTCATAGATGTGTCAGTAATATTCAAACCAGGATTTTGTCAGATCTGGTTCCATAATGATATGCAAACACAGTTGTGTACATGTAGTTAGACCAATGGATGAATTATATAAATGTTACATGAAATACATGATGTTTACAAAGTATACACTACACTCAGGAACTGAGTTGAGATGTCAGGTGTATTTGGGGCATAGATCAGGGGTTGTGTTACACTGAACTTTCTCAACACAGAGATGTGCTGCATGTTTTTAAGCAATGTTGGTTGTCAATAGATGATCAAGTCTGTTGCTGTGATGCACAACTAAAGTAATGTCGGAAATGGAAAAAAAACACGTTTTTGACATATATATCTACAATTTATGAAGTTAAAATGTGAAAGTGTGAAATATCTGTGAAACTAAGTTCAGCCTAACTACAGTCTCGGTGGTAGGGAGATAGGAAACGTAAAAAAAGGACTTTACTGAGGAGAGATTAGTGCGGAAATGAGCAATGCAGGTTTTTTCTAAGTCCAAAGCAGCTTATTTAAGCTTTTCTATGGGTATCATATTCTTTTACATATCTCAACATAAATGTTATGAAAGACACGTAAGATGATAATCAATAGATGAGATAAAATATCTTTGAGATGACCCCTTATGCCTGTAGGCAGCACGTGCATTTCATGCCAGGTGAGTCGATGGTCCGTCATCATACCTGGCTCAGGGGCCTAAATTGCCATCTATAGTCTGATCTATTGTTTTCAGCAGCTATTCATATTTTTTTAAAGTTTTGCACTATTTTACAAGTAAACATACACTACTAGATATCTTACAACACATCCCACTAAACGCCCAGTTAGGCCGATGTGGGTTATTTCAACATAGGCTACTTGCAGGCGTGCTGCCTACAGGCATAAGGGGTCATCTCACAGATATTTTATCTGATACAGAGTAACAGCCTGAAAAACAGTGTTTTCTCTTTCCGACAGTACTTTAGTGGTGTACATCATCACATCACATCAACCATCTTTCCATTCAGAGTAATCTTAAAAATGGAGATGGAGTTTTGTTTTTGAGACCCCTTTGTCATAATATCTGTAATGGCCTGTAATGTAAATAATATATATATATACATAAATATATATCTATACATACATAATATATATATACATATATATATATATATATATATATATATATATATATATATATACACACATATATATATCATATATATATATATATATATATATATATATATATATATATATATAAGAAGTTTCTGAAATAATCACACGACACGGATATCTCCCTGAAGATAAAAGTGAAACATGTTGTCCCTATTATGACGTCACAATATATATGTAATGACGTCATACTGTAACCGCTACAATCTCCCTGAAGAGTAAAGAACGAAACATGTTGGAGAAAACGGCATTCTGTTTTTATTTATCTATATATATATATATATATATATATATATATATATATATATATATACTTAATACAAGCAGAATGTTTTGATAGACATGGATAACATTCTGCTCTATGGCAGGTCATTCAGTTAAAAAAAATCACACAATTCATTTTCTGCTCCTTTCAAGTGAGTGCTATGGTACTGTTTGTGGGAATACTAGCCTTCTTTGTTTGGTTGTTCTATTACCCTCACATCCTCCAGTTTGAGCTGTTTTTAGTAGGACTGACACAAAGTTTTCTTACCCTAATAAGTACCTCCAGTTGACAAATATATTTATATAAAGTAGGAGTAGAAAGTTGTAATGGCAGTAGAAACAGGGTTAGAAAATGATCTTTATTACAACGCATTAGGAATATGTTTTCTGGATTGGACACCTAGCCAACACATGCAGTTTTGAGTCATATCTGCATACCCTCAATAGACCGATTGTATTGCATTAGTGACCATTAGTAACAGATGGACTGACATATTCTGTTGGCATATCTTAACAGACAGATGAGCATGTGAAACTATGCTCCCTCTCCAACACCTCCATATGGAAGTATACAAAATCATTGAAAGCAGGAGAGAGAACATATTCAGTCTTGGCATGTCATGAACTGAATGATCACTTTCAGACAGACTGACAGACAGACAGACATTTAATTCAGTAACAGGCCACTGGCCCAAAATACACTCATAAGTATGATAAGAAGTTACATGCGTTTGACATAAAAACATTAGAATCTCTTATTTTCCCAACATTATATACGAATAGGCATACATATTTATAACATTTGTGTTTGTTGAAGTAATTATGTTTATAAAACTGTTGTGAAATAGGAACACTTTCAAGACTGACCATAACCCAAATTTCTGCATCTGGACACGAGATATAGTGTTTCTGCCAGGTCCACCTGTTCTTGTCATTGTAGGGCATGTGGTGATGGACACACACAAGTTAAGAAGGTCCACCTGTTCTTGTCATTGTAGGGCATGTGTTGATGGACACACACAAGTTAAGAAGGTCCACCTGTTCTTGTCATTGTAGGGCATGTGTTGATGGACACACACAAGTTAAGAAGGTCCACCTGTTCTTGTCATTGTAGGGCATGTGTTGATGGATAACACAAGTTAAGAAGGTCCACCTGTTCTTGTCATTGTAGGGCATGTGTTGATGGACACACACAAGTTAAGAAGGTCCACCTGTTCTTGTCATTGTAAGACATGTGTTGATGGACACACACAAATTGAGAAGGTCCACCTGTTCTTGTCATTGTAGGGCATGTGTTGATGGACACACACAAGTTAAGAAGGTCCACCTGTTCTTGTCATTGTAGGGCATGTGTTGATGGACACACACAAGTTAAGAAGGTCCACCTGTTCTTGTCATTGTAGGGCATGTGATGATGGACACACACAAGTTAAGAAGGTCCACCTGTTCTTGTCATTGTAGGGCATGTGTTGATGGACACACACAAGTTAAGAAGGTCCACCTGTTCTTGTCATTGTAGGGCATGTGGTGATGGACAGACACGAGTTAAGAAGGTCCACCTGGTTTTGTCATTGTAGGGCATGTGTTGATGGACACACACAAGTTGAGAAGGTCCACCTGTTCTTGTCATTGTAGGGCATGTGTTGATGGACACACACAAGTTAAGAAGGTCCACCTGGTTTTGTCATTGTAGGGCATGTGTTGATGGACACACACAAGTTGAGAAAGTCCACCTGTTCTTGTCATTATAGGTCATGTGTTGATGGACACACACAAGTTGAGGAGGTCCACCTGTTCTTGTCATTGTAGGGCATGTGATGATGGACACACACAAGTTAAGGAGGTCCACCTGTTCTTGTCATTATAGGGCATGTGTTGATGGACACACACAAGTTGAGGAGGTCCACCTGTTCTTGTCATTGTAGGGCATGTGTTGATGGACACACACAAGTTGAGAAGGTCCACCTGTTCTTGTCATTATAGGGCATGTGTTGATGGACACACACAAGTTAAGAAGGTCCACCTGGTTTTGTCATTGTAGGGCATGTGATGATGGACACACACAAGTTAAGGAGGTCCACCTGTTCTTGTCATTATAGGGCATGTGTTGATGGACACACACAAGTTGAGGAGGTCCACCTGTTCTTGTCATTGTAGGGCATGTGTTGATGGACACACACAAGTTGAGAAGGTCCACCTGTTCTTGTCATTATAGGGCATGTGTTGATGGACACACACAAGTTAAGAAGGTCCACCTGGTTTTGTCATTGTAGGGCATGTGTTGATGGACACACACAAGTTGAGAAAGTCCACCTGTTCTTGTCATTATAGGGCATGTGTTGATGGACACACACAAGTTGAGGAGGTCCACCTGTTCTTGTCATTGTAGGGCATGTGATGATGGACACACACAAGTTAAGGAGGTCCACCTGTTCTTGTCATTATAGGGCATGTGTTGATGGACACATACAAGTTGAGGAGGTCCACCTGTTCTTGTCATTGTAGGGCATGTGTTGATGGACACACACAAGTTAAGAGGGTCCACCTGTTCTTGTCATTGTAGGGCATGTGTTGATGGACACACACAAGTTGAGGAGGTCCACCTGTTCTTGTAATTGTAGGGCATGTGATGATAGATGCAGGATGATAGACACAAACAGGTAGAGATTTAATAACAATACATGGCTTGAGGCTCACAAGTACATGATCTATTTCAGAACGTGATAATCAGATTTATATTTTCACTCCATGTTTTTTACCCTTTCTGTTACATTGACACAAACATATCCAATCAGCCATGATATATATTGTATTCTGCTTAACATGTTCTAATACCCTTGTAGTTTTAAGAACAAATAATTCTGAGAAATAAGTTACAAATATTTCAGCAGCATGATTAGAGAGTAGGTAGTGTCATGAATATGTTGAACCAAACACAGTACCATGTGTTATTTGGTCATTCAGTTAGACATGATTGTCTTTGTTTTGAGTGGCCAGTCAGATCTTCCAGTCATCATCATTGGTGTCTGGTAGCTGATACAGAGAGAGTCTGAGAGCCCGTTGACGCTTCTGTATTCCACTCTGAACTGCATGGAGAACAACACGATCTTCCGTTGTGAGAGACGGAGCATTGCGTAGTGAGTGAGGTGACTGAGACCGACTCCGTACATACTGGGGCATTTGTTTCTTTATTCTAGTCACTGACCTTGACCGTTCATGTGTGTTTGCAGCAGATTTGGTATGATACACCATGGTCATTCTTGGCGTGTAAGTTGACTGCCGAGGAATGTAAAGATTTTGATTATGTTTGGCATACGTTGTTGTCACATGGTGTCGTGTGTCCCTGTGGTCATGGGGGTAATGGTGGCCGTCATCCCTCCACACATGGCTCACTGTACCTTTATTGTCTGCTAGATTGGATGACAGGGTTCTTCCAGGAAGTTGGTGATGATGGTCATGGTGGTTGACATTTTGAGCTGGATATCGGGGAGTAGACGAGGCAAAGAAGGCATCTGGTGGTGAGGATGGTGATGATGGCGAAGGGAGACGCATTGGTGTGAACACTTCATCACTGAAATTGAAAACATAGTTAACACTGGATTATATTCACTTCTAATAAATCTAATTATTGTTTGGAGACATAGAATTCAGGAATCAGATTTTATGATCACTATTACAGATCTTTTGTAGGCATGATGAAACAAATACTAGGCATACTAAAGCAAACCAGTTGTGTGGAAGTATGCTGTTGCAGTCATATTAATGACTCCTAGAGAAGCCTTGTCAATAAATACCGGTAATGACAGTTGGAATATATACTGCTTCCTACCTTCCCACTGTGTCTGTTCCAGTCTTCAAGGGAGGGTTGTTCTCTGAAACCAAAATGTTCCTTTTCAAATTTGTCGACCAAATATTATAAATAATTAAAATGGACATAAGTGTTGAAAAACAGATGTTCAAAACTGTCATAAATTAGAAACCTTTGTAGTAGATATTCATGACGTGGATTTCAGTACATTTTCATGAACTGTTAGAATCGGATATTATTGCAATATTCTCGATCACCAACGATAAATATTTGATTTCATAAACCAAACAGTTTCAGTAATGGTAATGATCTCTAGGAGATTATGACTGGTAATGAAAGCAACTGGTTTATGAAACTCAATATTTATGGTTTAACATGTTGGTGATTCAGAACATTGCAATGATATCTGACTCTAAAGCCTCCTTCAGATGTCCAGTTGGAATGCTTCCTGAGATTATTTAGGATATTTCTTTGTGCTGGTCAGGATTTATGTGACAGTAATTATGCTCAGGGTGGTCCCTTGTACTCAGTTAGCTGTGTGTTTTGGTTTGGTGCAATATTGTTTTCATTCAGCTTTTAAACAAGGGGTGAAAGTGACTTGTAAGTCATTTTAATTTTGCGATGTCACATGTTCACAGTAATGTCATTCCATTGGAGGTGAAAGACATCAGAACACTTTATATTTATGCCCTCAGTCTGCACTCACAAGGCACATCATTGCCACCATTTTCCCCCCTTGACAACCACAGTAAAGACTTTGCTAAAAAGGGCGTCCTAAGACAACATGGCATCCAAACCCTACAATAGCCTGCACTCAGTCCGGATTTAAGTCCAATGGAACACCTTTGGGACGAGATGCAAAGAAGACTGAATGACCTATAACCCGCAAGGCCGACAACTGCGACTGGACTCAATCAGGCATTTCGCAGAGTATGGACCCAAGTGCCTATGGCCTTCATCAACCGGCTAATTCATTCCATGTACAGACGATGCAGCTCCGTCATCGATGCCCATGGAGGCCACACACGGTACTGACTTTGAGGTGTTCTAATGGTACCATATTTGGTGATTTTGTTTGAGTGAACTAAAAATGTGATTCCCGAAAATGTGTTTTGACCTCAATCCTCCATTTTGTTTGTTAATTAGAGCGAATTAAAGTGTGTGCTATCTGAGATGTCTGGGTCTCTTTGGAGTATGGCATTTATAATCAAAGACAAAATAATTAAAAGTACCTTTGTCATACAGAGACCTCTTGATGTTGAGTTTCACTCTCTTTGAATTGGTGAGGCCAGAGATCTGCTTCTCAGAGAGAATATTTACACTTAATCCATCAATCTGTAAAACAGATTACATAGCGTATTTGAGTGCACAAATATAATGAACTTCTCACAGTTTCCATGAGAGACTGAACATTTGTTGCATTCAAACAGAAATGATTCACTCCAGGGTTTATGTATAGTCTTGATATGATACAACACACTGTAACTTAAATCTCAAAGTCATATTTCACAACATACTGCAGTGTTCACGAATGGTGTTTCAAAGTAACAGGACATTGGGTCCTGTAAGCTTCAGATGTCTGTCTGACCCATTGAAAATTCAGAGGACCCAAAGAATAAAATTAAACACACATTTCAGATTTAACATTTCTCATAATTGGCATTGAAATTATTAACAAACATAAGATTTATAAACAGCAAACAAATGTCACATATAACAACTTCAGTCAAAGTCATTGTGAAATATACAGTCAGACACTGGGGTCGGTGGGTTGTAGACTTCTATTGGACCTTTGGCGAATCTGCTGGATTTGTCAGAGGGTCAGACGCTATTCGTGAACACTGCATACTGGCACTTACATCTCAAAGTCATATTACACAATATACTGGCACTCAAATTTCTAATCATCATTAATTGTTATTTGGATATTTCTTAATGTGACATTCCTTTATTATAAATTAATGAATGAAATAAAAATAGACATGTAGTTAAACTGGACAGTCCATGAAGAACACAAATACCATACAAATGGCTAAACAACCTTCATTATGCAGTCTCCCTTCTTGAGGCCAGCCTTGTCTGCAGGAGAGTTTGCTTCCACCTCCTTCACAATGATGTCTCCTGCCACTGGGTCCCTGCAACACAGGAGGGTGGTGCACTGATCGCCAGCTGCACAGGACAGGGTACACAGACACAACAACACAAGAACTCCTTCCTACATCCTCTCACAAGACACTGGCTACAGCATGCACTGTTACATACTGCATGTTATCCACTTTACTCTGTAGTATGTTGTGTTTGGTACACTGTATGTTGCACTTGTTCTGTACTCTGGATGTGATACATAGAGATTATTACATGAACAAGTGTGTCATATGACTTACACAAAACAAGTGTGAAATTTTGTATTAATACATACTTTTGTACTAATTTCGTTAAAATCATATGACACACTTGCTTGAGTGTAATAATTTCTTTATTATCCATTTTATTCATGTACATTTGTGCAGTAAAACACGGTAAGCAAGTGTGACGGCCCTCTTCATTGATGTCACGTTTAATTGTTTAATGATACCACAGACGACGAAATACAGAAACAATGGTTGCTAGGCAAAAGTGATACGTGCACAATTATGATGTGTATGACACTGGTTATGTTTTACCATATGGGTAATAAAACCTCTTATATATGTCTATACTGGTAACTAACAGAGGTGGTGTTTCAGAGTGTGGTCAGTGTACTGGCTTGTATCAAGGTGGACTGAGACACTTCCAGATGTGTTTACATACAGAACAAAGCACTCATCTACAATTTGTTTCTTAAACTGTGCTGACTGAATTTGTGGGGCTGGTTATGGTGTGACTGAATATGTGAGGATGGTTATGGTCTGACTGAATGTATGGGGATGGTTCCGGTCCACCTGGCCCGGTATCCTCATCCACTTAAATCCTCTTCATGTGCAGACACCTGATGTGTTTGTATAGAGGGCGTGTGTACACACCGGCAGCAGGCTATTGTGATGGCAATTGCTGTTATGTAGTTATTGTATCATGAAGCGTCAGTAGCCTCAGACTGCCAGCAGTAACATATTATGTGGTTTCAACTTGCAAAATGCATATCTTTAAGAATTACATACTGCTAACTGAATTGGACATGTGCTTTTTCTCCCTGAAATCATTCTGGCACCCTATATTTGAAAAATAACAAGGAACAAAGTTTAGAGAAAGGTTACCTTTTCACTGACTAAATGTATTTCAAAGAATGAAAAAACATGTTCAGCTTTAGTTCCTTGCATATCTATATCTATGTATCAGTGAAATAATTATTTTTTCAAACATGTTGCCTTATTTATTGACAGATGTCTATCGTGTTATGAGTAATAGTTGATTAGCTTTCTACCAATAATGCAATTCACCCACACAACAACTCACCAACTGACTCACTCCTAGGTTTCGCCTACCTGAAAACAGCACAGCCAAGCTTGCCACCATTTGTTGGGTAGATAATCACATCTGTGCTGTTGCCTGTTGTAGGTGACACAAGTCGGTGCCCTGCATCACAAGATGGACAATAATAACAAATGTTGTTGCAGAATAATCATACACAGAATGCCCTCCATCGAACTTACCAAGAGTTGAGATGTAAGCAATCCTATCTAAATGTTGCTAAAACACAACACACCAGTGCTGATATTGAGTTACACCAGTCCAAGCAATCCCCACAATCGTCTTAATTGATCCCAAATGAGACTGCCTTTACAATTTAGTCAGATCAAATAACATACTTGACTGATCTACACAAATGGCCCTGCAGATAAATTCTAGGTCAATTGTTTGAATGACTCTTCAAATGCACTCAAGGCATGTGCCATGCCTGTTGTCACACACATCTGCATGTGTCAATCCCTGAACTGAATAAAAGTGTAAAAGGTCCTGTTTGATTATCATGGCATGAATAATTACTTCATTCCCAGCAATGATAATTGAAAGTAGCTGAACATTTTTAGAGTACTTGCAAATTTTGTTCATATTTCCTTTATATAAGTTGAGAAATCTGCCCTTGTCATAATGACACCTAAAGTAGGTCCCCTCAAATGTTTTTGTGTAAAGTTGTAAGCCTTGGCATGATAGTGTTTGACATGTGTCAGTTGAAACTCACCATCAACTTCATGAGATGTCTCCACTTCCATGATGAGATTCCAGGCATTGAGCATCAGTATCACAGCTTCAGCATGAGTCAGTTGCCTAAAGTCTGTACCATTCACCTCAAGGATGCGATCTCCAACACTGAGACCCTAAATGAACACAAAATTCATGTTTGCAGACTGTTCTGAGGAAACATTTGAAACAATTTTAGTAGAAACTCCATGATGGGGGTCCCTTACTTCTTAACCCCCTTACCTGTTCCTCTGCCTGACTGTTGGCCTCCACTAGGTACACCATGATACGTGTCCCTTACTTCTTTCCCCCCTTACCTGTTCCTCTGCCTGACTGTTGGACTCCACTAGGTACACCATGATAGGGGTCCCATACTCCTTGCCGCCTTTGATGCCAACACCAAGACTGCCATCCTCACGCCTGTTTAGTAGCACTTGCTTCTTGGAGTTGCTTCCTTCTGGCTGTATCGTGGGGCTTTCTGGATTAACAGTCGACGTGCTCTTGGAAGGTATCCGATTCAGATGATGATTGGAATGTGTGCTTGATTTCCTACTGTGTCCCTTTGATTTTTGTGACAGCTGAAGCGACTTCAGTGACACACGTGATGGAGTCTTTGACATATCTTGATTCTGAGGTTGATATTGGTCTGCTGCTCTCACCGGTTTCATGAGTGAATGATTCAGTATCATTTCAGCTTCTTCCTTGGTCACTGTTCCATTCCTCGAGTGATCATCAAACTCACTGTATACTCCACTTGTAACACTGGTACCAGGCAGAGATATCCCATCAGTACCATTAGTTTCATCATAGGGCACTACATGTATTTTTTTCTCAAATCCTGTTGACACAACTTGAAATTGTCCCGATGAATCCTTTGCAATAACTTTAGGATCATCACTTAAGGGGTTTCCAGTATTAAAATACTTTAAAAATGCCTCATAACTCGAAAACTGCAAGCTACAGAGCTTATGGAAGTCCCTCTGGAGTTGGAGAGGAAGTTTGCCACTGAGCTCCAGGAGGAGCATCAGCTTCTCAGTTGTATTTATCACAGGTTTTAGCTCAGTGCATAATGTGGGCACAGATTTAGACACCCGGAAGTGCTGTAAAGCTTGTTTGAACACACTGCATTCATCTTCATTCAGAAGTTCTTCTGCAAGATTTCGAAGGATTACCTCCCCTTTCTGATATTGTGTTGTGGCCATGAGTTTCATCTGTCGCCGCTGAGCTCGACGAAGGGGCTTCCACGTGTGTCCGTATTGGAGGTAGTGTACTACCTGGTGGCAACAAGAACATAATGTATACAACATATGTATAAATATTGTTATCTTTAAGTTTACACTCACCCGAAGCAATATAACATTTAAAATTGCCATCAACATGACAAGCTTTATTCCCAGTGTTGTTCTTTCAAACTTGTCTGTGTAAGATTCTACTGTTAACCTAGTATACTGTGCTCTGTATTCTAATTAAAGACACTTTGTTAACAACTACAAATTGGTACAGTTACCTGAACAAAAAGATTGAATGTACACAAACATGAGTCATTAAAACATCCCATCTCAGTGTAAATAAATATTGATCAGATATTGAGCTCAATTACTTTTTATTCTAATTTCTTAATGACAAATGCAAATAAAGAAATCTTACCAGCACCTATTTACATGAAAAGAAAAACACTTCGCACAGTGTTGCTGTATATGAACCAGTACTATTACTATATGATCAGCTGGATGATGTTGCTGTATATGAACCAGTACTATATGATCAGCTGGACAATGTTGCTGTACATGAACCAGTACAATATGATCAGCTGGACAATGTTGCTGTACATGAGCCAGTACTACATGATCAACTGGACAATGTTGCTGTATATGAACCAGTACTATATGATCAACTGGACAATGTTGCTGCTGTTGAACCAGTAATATATGATCAGCTGGACAATGTTGCTGTATATGAACCAGTACTATATGATCAACTGGACAATGTAGCTGTATATGAACCAGTACTATATGATCAGCTGGACAATGTTGCTGTATATGAACCAATACTATATGATCAGCTGGACAATGTTGCTGTATATGAACCAGTACTATATGATCAGCTGGACAATGTTGCTGTATATGAACCAGTACTATATGATCAGCTGGACAATGTAGCTGTGTATGAACCAGAACTACATGATCAACTGGACAATGTAGCTGTACATGAGCCAGTACTACATGATCAACTGGACAATGTTGCTGTATATGAACCAGTACTACATGATCAGCTGGACAATATTGCTGTATATGAACCAATACTATATGATCAACTGGACAATGAACCAGTACAATGTTGCTGTTGGACAATGTTGCTGTATATGAACCAGTACTATATGATCAACTGGACAATGTTGCTGTATATGAACCAGTACTATATGATCAGCTGGACAATGTTGCTGTATATGAACCAATACTATATGATCAGCTGGACAATGTTGCTGTATATGAACCAGTACTATATGATCAGCTGGACAATGTTGCTGTATATGAACCAATACTATATGATCATGTTGCTGTGATAGCTGGAATGTTACTATATGACCAGCTGGACAATGTTGCTGTATATGAACCAGTACTATATGATCAGCTGGACAATGTTGCTGTATATGAACCAGTACTATATGATCAGCTGGACAATGTTGCTGTATATGAACCAGTACTATATGATCAGCTGGACAATGTTGTTGTATTTGAACCATCACTACATGATGAGCTGGACAATGTTGCTGTACATGAACCAGTACAATATGATCAGCTGGACAATGTTGCTGTACATGAGCCAGTACTACATGATCAACTGGACAATGTTGCTGTATATGAACCAGTGCTATATGATCAACTGGACAATGTTGCTGTACATGAACCAGTACTATATGATCAACTGGACAATGTTGAACCAGTGCTATATGAACCAGTGCTACTATGATCAACTGGACAATGTTGCTGTTGTTGAACCAGTACTATATGATTAACTGGACAATGTTGCTGTTGTTGAACCAGTACTATAGTACTACATGATCAACTGGACAATGTTGCTGTGAACCAGTGTATATGATCAACCAGCTGTTGTTGAACCAGTACTATATGACTGGACAATGTTGCTGTTGTTGAACCAGTACTAATAATTGACAATGTTGCTGTATATGAACCAGCACTACATGATCAACTGGACAATGTTGCTGTTGTTGAACCAGTACTATATAATCAGCTGGACAATGTTGTTGTATTTGAACCATCACTACATGATGAGCTGGACAATGTTGCTGTACATGAACCAGTACAATATGATCAGCTGGACAATGTTGCTGTACATGAGCCAGTACTACATGATCAACTGGACAATGTTGCTGTATATGAACCAGTGCTATATGATCAACTGGTCAATGTTGCTGTTGTTGAACCAGTACTATATGATTAACTGGACAATGTTGCTGTTGTTGAACCAGTACTATATAATCAGCTGGACAATGGTGCTGTATATGAACCAGCACTACATGATCAACTGGACAATGTTGCTGTATATGAACCAGTACTATATGATCAGCTGGACAATGTTGCTTTATATGAACCAGTACTATATGATCAACTGGACAATGTAGCTGTATATGAACCAGTACTACATGATCAGCTGGACAATGTTGCTGTTGTTGAACCAGTATTACATGATCAACTGGACAATGTTGCTGTATATGAACATGATGTATGATGCCATACCCTTCATATGAACATGTGAATGATGATCATTGTGACAACCCATGCTTGTCATAAGAGGCGACTCGGGTGTTCAGGCTCGCTGACTTGGTTGACACATGTCATCGTATCACAAAATTGCGTAGATCGATGCTCATGCTGTTGATCACCGGAATGTCTGGTCCAGCCTTGATTATTTGCAGACTGCTGCTGTATAGGTGGAATATTGCAGGGTGTGACGTTATACAATAAACAAACAAAATTCCAGGGAAGATACATATGATAAAATGAAGTAAAACATGCATAATAACTTCTCTTTACTCGAACAACAACAAAAATTCAAGTGAAATTTGCCAGTATGTTCCCTTATAACAACCACATCTATGCTGATCTTACCTCCATGTGCCGGGGGCGAACCCGCAACTGCAAATCAGGATATCTGCTGAGTGGGGAGAACATTTTGGGCTGCTGTACTTGACTACTACTAGAAATTTGAAGGCAGACTTGCCCCATCTACCAAGATACTCTGGGCCTAGTAATTGTTTCCATACAATCCTCAGCCCCAGTAGGTGTCCTTAATTATGCTTTCCTCCATGTTTGTTTCTTTTGTAAGAAATCAGTGTTGTATCAAAGCAATACTATTTCGTAATCCAAGCATATCCACTGTGGGCGAGGATATTCAGTGCTTGTGCCAGGTATAGAATACATGTCAAGAATGTCCATATGTCAGCCACTAGCACAAGCTGCTAATCCAGTAGGGATCCAAGACTGAATGAGACTTAAACACACGATAGCTGTACAGTGTTCCCTCCTGGGATCTCACCCCACACCTAGAAGGAACTAAGTCAGGACAAGGCTGACATTATCAATAATCCTTGCAGCCTTAATTAAATCATCAAAGATTGATTGCACACAAATATCAGCCACACCATTGCCTTTGGCAAAATTGAATCCCTGAGCATGCAGACGTAACCTCAGAATGCAGGTGCCTGAATGGCCCTGGCACACAGAGACTCAGGCAATCAGTGAAGAGATGCAGGAGTTTGTCAACTGCACACAAAGCAGTGTATTATATAGTCCCCTCTCCACACTTGTTATAGGAGACTTGACATACTTGTTGTATAGCAATAGAGAATCATGAAAACCTGACTGACAGCTTTCAACCAGCCTACAAAAGACGAGTCTTCATTTATGTTCAACATTATATGGTTATGACAGTGATGATTTGACAAGAGCACTCATTCACTGATATGTAATATGTCTTGCTGCTCTTTCAAATGTTTGAACAATCATGTCAACCTTAAAATCTCTATAAATCTTACAACCATCTGAATATTTACACACTTATCAGTCTGTTAATTGTTGTTTTTGTGAGATGTAACAACATTCACAAATATAGGATATATAATAATGAGCTGTACTGAACTGTTAAGTACGACCACAGTGTACCTAGATGTGTGACCAGTCATTGAGACGGTTCCAGGCTAACTATGTACAATGCTCATTACATGCTGTAGATTAGGATGTCACATCAGATGTCTCTTTATTTCATCTGTGTGTCATGGCACACTGCCACCCAACAACACAAGCATGCAGAAACACCTCGGTCATCAATTCCCGCTTTTTACAAGATCTACATGACAGGTCCACTCAGAATTATTGAGACAGGACTATTTTCAAACTATAATACAAGTATAAGGCAAAACATGAAATATTTAGCTGTATTGTTCCCCAACAAAGCTTCACCCTTATACACCACACCTCACACATTATATTTTTCATAAATATATTTTTTACAAATGAAATACATCAATTTCTTTTAAAGTGTGTGTAGTAAACCTATGATAAAGTGAGAGAGATATAGTTTAGACATGACTCTGAGATTGGGTTTGAAATGTAAAACAGCGAGGAAGGAAAACCCAAGAGCAAAGGACCCTAGGTGCAAGCAAGGACCCAAACTGAGGAGAAGTGTTACAACTAAGTCAGGAGCCTAAATGAAAGTAAAGTCACAAAGAATAACATAAGGAAATCTTCAAGTGAAACAAGAGAGTGACTATGTGCAGTATGTGGAAGACATGACAAGTTAGATTGAAAACCCTTTCATCACCTACCCAACTAGCTCAGTGGGAAAACAGTGAGTTACAATACTGAACACGACATGTAAGACTGAACACCCTTTAATCACCTACCCAAGTTGCTCAGTGGGTTACAAGACCTGTGAAGGTCCCGGGTTAGAATATTGGCCTTCAGTAACCCATGCTTGTCGTAAGAGGCGACTAACGGGGATCGGGTGGTCAGGCTCGCTGACTTTGTTGACACATGTCATCGGTTCTCAATTGCACAGATCGATGCTCATGCTGTTGATCACTGGATTGTCTGGTCCAGACTCGATTATTTACAGACCGCCGCCACATAGCTGGAATATTGCTGAGTGCAGCGTAAAACTCCACTCACTCACTCAGTGGGTTACAATACTGAACATAACATGTAAGACTGAACACCCTTCATCACCTACCCAACTAGCTCAGTGGGAAAACTGTGAGTTACAATGCTGAAGATGATATGTAAGGTTGTAGATTCTGTTCATGTCAGATATCAACATAAGATGCATGTACAAGGATGTTTGTATATTCCATGTTACTCAATTATGTAGAGAATTGATGACATTTCTCATGGAGTGCCCTGGGCATGGATACCAGCAACTGAGTTTGCAGGCTCTCCATAGTTAAGGTCTGATTCCATTACTGGGGCACCATTTTCAAACACAACTATGTCAGTCCTGCTATTTGGGAAATGGAAGGCAAAGCAGCCCTGTCATGCAGAGTTACATCCTTTAACCTTACAAATGTGGTATATAATTTACGTATGTATATATACCTGGGGAGGTTTCCTGACAAAATATGATGGGTGGCAAGGAAGGTCAATACACTCACATTGCTTGTGCATACACAACTTTTATCAATGGAATTGGATGAAACTTTGAACCTAAAATGTTTCTAAAGTGGGGCCATTACCATAACATCCACATAAGGCCACTGGAAGTAAATTTTGAAGCATGATTTCTATCTGATTAATATGAATATCTTTGATGAAGAGTTGTTTTGTGTGACACACAAAACTGAACTGACACATTGACAGCTGTAATGTATATTAGTACATACAGCATCTATACTCATGCCAATAATGGTTGTCACCCCCCTCCCAACCCCACCCCCCACTCCAATTAAAGAAATTGAAGGGTGTGACAACCATTATTGGCATGAGTATATATAAGGAAGTATTTAGCTAAAAGGTAGGCTGAACCCACTTCCATACACTTATGTCTGACAATACACATGATACATGACACATCAGTGATATGTTTGCAGGCTCTAGCTACCGATATCCCCTCTCCTCACCACAAACACATACAGTGTAACGTGACCTGTTCCTTACACAGCATACACCAATTCATACACAATTACTCTCAAATGTTTTTTCTTTTGATGCTAGTCACACCATGTTGTGATAAACTGATCCAAAATTCTTTGTATTGGTGACCTCTAAAAAGTAAGAATATGTTGCTGTCCTTGAGGTGATGTCTTGCCTGTACATGTGGCACTCAGTCTGCGGGTGATGTATTGGCAACAACCAAACAGGGAATGACAATCAATACACACTCAGTCAAGATTTCAAATAATAAGAGAACTATTTTGCAGTAACCAAGATTAATAATCTATAATCTGAACATTGATGACGAGATGCTCAGCTAACAAAGGGCAATGGTTACGTGTGACACTTTCAAGAACATCACACTTGCCCTGCGTTATCACATATGTTTCATGTCAGCTGTTAGGAATATATATCTGGATGTATGAAACACTTCCAATTCCTTATTATTAATTATCAATTGTACCTGCTTACATGTTCAAAGTTGTGTTTTTTCCTGGTTTTCAGGTATCTGTCACTGAACATTGATTGCAGTCATCAGGGCAGCAACAAAAACTTCAGGTTATAATTATTTCCCTTGTTTGAAAAATACCAACAGTAATAATGAACTGGCCAGCAGTACAAGCAATCATAACATATAAGGTCAGTCTATTCCACAGGCAACACAGGTATCTACCATGTCCATTACAGTGCATGTCTTGTAGTGAATGTATTCCATTACATTAGTTGTCTTTTAATATATATACTAATAAGAACATCAACATTATACAAATTATGTGCAACAATTTACTGTTAATGATATATTCCATGACAACCCAGTTCCACCGAGACTGACCAGTCATGTAGATGTGTGATTTTACCACTGACTGTTTCACCTGCTTTACTAGGTGCAAGAGGAACTTCACACAGGCAATTTCACACAGGCAACTTTACACATGCTTTTGGATGGCTGGATTTGGGATAGACTAATTGTTGTGTTTGGATGAAATAGAACAAGGCCTGAACTGCAGTTTGATGGTCATTAGAAGGATGGATTTGAGTCAGTACAGTGACATGACAAGGGCAGAACCATGCCATGACTAAAATATAATACCAAACTGAAAATAAAGCCGTGTACATAATTTTCCAATAAAGAATAAAACCTGTATTACATTCATCCATATTTCAAGAAACTTCAGCTATGCTTTGTTGAAAGGCCTTGACTATGATCTGTTCACCGTTGTTGTAGGAGAGTGGTCAAACGATAGATTTTCTGTATACACTACGTGTTAAACAAGAAAAGTCATCAATATCCCCCGCAATGGCAAAATACTCTTTATGAATATGTCTACTAGTTCTGATTATGTCAAATGTTTTGGAGTGTATACAGCAAAGTGGAAGGAGAGTATTGAAAGGTTTTTAAGATCTGCTCCAGAAAAGAGCACTATCACCAAATTCAGTTGAAGCCTAACTTGTTGCCATGGAAATGCAACAAGATGACATCCTCATAGTCACAGCCAAAGTCATGTTTCCATGGAAACCACAAAAAAATAAAATTTATATCTGGGTCTAACCCCCAAAAGGCACATCTAGGGATCATGTTTGATATGTGTACCAAGTTTGATGAAGCTAGCATGTATAATTTAGGAGATCTGCTCCGGACAAGATGACATCCTCATAGCCATAGCCTAAGTCATGTTTCCATGGAAACCGCAAAAAATAAAATTTGCATCTGTGTCCAACCCCCAAAAGGCACATCTAGGGATCATGGTTGACATGTGTACCAAGTTTGGTTAAGCTATCACGAATAGTTTAGGAGATATGCTTCGGACAAAGTGTGACGGACGCACGGATGCAAGGAAGCACGGACGGAACTCGTTTCTATATCACCCACAACTTCGTTGTTGAGGGGGATAATAACCATGACAACTTTCAAGCAGCTTGCAGTGGGAGAAATTTTTAACTCTGATCAACTTTGGAAAAATTGGCAAACAGTATTTCATGCATTGCATCTAATGATACAAATCAGTATTTGCCTATGGAGAAATGTAGTATAAAGCCCGGCTGATTGGAAATGTGTGTTGAAGGTACTGTCAACAGTTAAGTCGAGACCAGTTACCTCCCATCAAATATTTGATGGATATAGCTATACATGATGAAAGTAAGATGAATTCAGTTTTTAAATGGACAAACACTCAACATTTACATGTAAAGTTCATTTTATATTCTCATTGTGTCTGCCTGTGATATAGATGTATACATGCATAATCACAGAAATGAAAAAATGAAACACATTATCACCTAATCTCAACGTTTAACTCCTTAAACTTTAGTGAACAATGTCAATACAAAATTCTCTTTAATGTTGTAACAGTGACATTGAAAAATGTGACTATAGATGATAACAATCTCTTGACCTTAAGAAAGTAATAAACGTTTTACCTTCAGTAATGAAATACTGCACACAGAGGCTTAATGTGGGAACCACAGTCTACCTTGTAGCATGTGTCACAGTTCATTGATGGGATGACTGGAGGAGAGCTTACAGCTCATACACTTGAACCAGTCAAGTCACACAGAATATCTACGGAGGCAATACAACATACCAAGCAATCATTAAATGACCCTTCAACAAGGATCACCCATGTGATACTAGAAGACTCAATAAAGGTTTGTTTCAAACAG